CGGAGCTCCAGGAACCGGAGCGGTAAGATCATCCTCATCAAGAAGGAAGTCCAAGGCGGAGGATGCCATGGGCGTGGTAGACATATTGGCGAAAGGGAAGGAGGATTCGTCAAAAATGACATGGCGAGAAATAAGAATGCGGTTCGACTGAAGCTCCAGACACCGGTAGCCTTTGTGTTCGGAGGAGTAACCGAGGAACACACATAGAGAGAAGCCAGCGGGTGCAAGTTTGTGAGGTGCTGTGACGGACATGTTAGGGTAACAAGCACACCCAAAAACTTTGAGATGGTCGTAGGAGGGTTGGGTGGAATAGAGGTGGGTGTAGGGAGTCGAGAACGCGAGAGTTTTGGTGGGGAGCCGGTTAACTAGGTAGGTGGCGGTGTGAAGTGCCTCGACCCAGTAGACCGGAGGAAGGCTTGCCTGAAAAAGAAGAGAACGCAGAATATTGTTAAGTGTGCGGAGAGAGCGTTCGGCCTTTCCATTTTGCTGGGAAGTGTATGGACACGACATGCGAAGTGCAACACCGTGGGAGAGAAAGAACGTGCGGGCTGCAGAATTGTCAAATTCGCGGCCATTGTCGCACTGGACGCTTTTGATGGTGGTGCCGAACTGAGTGTGAACATATGCGAAAAAATTGGAAAGAGTGGAGAACGTCTCGGATTTTTTACGGAGGGGAAAAGTCCAAATGTAATGGGAACAATCATCCAAAATAACAAGATAATATTTGTACCCAGACACACTGACAATAGGAGATGTCCAGAGATCACAGTGTATCAAATCAAAATTATTAAAAGCTCGAGAGCTAGAGGTCCCAAACGGAAGTCGTGTGTGCCGACCGAGCTGGCACGCATGACATATGTGGTGGAAATCATCTTTATTGCAGGAGATAACACTGGAGCTAATGAGTTTGAACATTGCTTCACGCCCAAGATGGCCGAGACGCCGATGCCAAAGTGAGGTAGGTGCGGCGATGAAGGCGGTGGTGCTGGTGGTGGGTGGGAAGAACGGGTAGAGGTCGCCAGAGCTATTGCACCTGGCGATCACGGTCCTGGTGTGTAGGTCCTTCACAGAAAGGCCAAACGGATCAAATTCAATGGAACAGTTGTTATCAGTGGTAAAACGGCGAATGGAAATCAAGTTCTTAATTATATGTGGGGAAACTAAAACATCATTAAGAACAAGATTACGATGCGGAAAGGAAAAAGTGTGTGATCCAGTGGCAGTGACGGGAAGGAGTGCACCATTCCCAACAACGATAGATGAAGGTGTAAGTGATGAAGGGGATGAAACGGAGGAGAGTGTACCAGCATCCGCAATCATGTGAGAGCCAGCACCCGAGTCAGCATACCATTCGGATGATGGTGGCGGGGTGAGCGACATCGTGTTGAAGGACTGCACCAACGAGTCCTGGTTCCATGCACCGCCATGAGTGGGGTTCCAGGGCGCCGGCGCAGGCACTTGATGGTGCGCTGGGTGCCCCTGGTGTCCCTGGAACGTCAGTGTTGAGGGCGCAGCTCCCCCGTAGCCGTACGTGGATGGTGCAGTATAGCCGTATCCGCCGGGAACGCCGCCAAATGGGCCGCCATACTGAGGAAAGGCGGTGAAGGCCTGCTGTGGCGGTGGTGGGCGGCCATATAGCCACATCTGCGAGGAGCCCATCCAGGGTCGATCAGAAGGAAGGTGCGCCCGGTGGTGCGTGACCACAGGCACCGGACGGCGCAACACCGCCAGAAGTTGCCGCCACCCGCGCGCCACGCCACGACCAGCGACGACCATTGGGCGCTGCTGCCGCCGTTACCCTTTAGGCGCCCGAGGGGACGTTGTGGAGCCATCTGGTTCCCCTGGTGCGGCGCGTTGGAGAGTGCGGGCGGGCCAGACGCGGCCGGCTGCTGCGGCGTCGTTGCGGAGACGGGCCTCCTCAGCGAGGCGAGCCGCGGCGGCGGCGGCGGTGGCATCATCGTCATCGGCATGGCGGGCACAAGGGGACCGGAGACCGTGGGCGAGGCCGGCGAGAGCACGATCAGCGACGCTGGGCGGCGATCGCGATGGTCACGATCGGCGACCGAGTGTGACGCGAGCGATCGGGGCTGGAGGATCAGCGGCGCGTGGGCATGCAATTACGTTCCTGGTGGTGGTGTACTTGCATGCAAGGGGCGATCGGGACTAGTTGGGATCAGCGGCCGCGGCGCATGCATCGAGGGCAGGGCAGGGCGGCGATTAATTAAGCGCGGCGATCGGCTCAGCAGCGCTCCGGGCGAAGTGGATCGGCGGCAGGAGCGGCGAGGAGGACCGGCGGCGCGCAGACTAAGGTTGCGGAAGAGTAGCGGATCGTAACCGATTTGATACCATGAAAGTGTAGGAAGATTGATATCTATTCCAAGTATGTTTACAGGAGTACATATATAGCAGCCATGGGTGGCATGCAAGCCTACCACTAAGGCGCAATTACAGCCACAATTACATGCCTAATTATAGTAGTCTAACAGAAAGAAACTCACAATTGTCCGGTAGTTAGAGGGAGACGGACCAAAAAAAAATGGATGGACGAAATTAGGTATAGATGAAGTTCTGTCGGCGCATGGAATTTAATAATATGATTTATGGTCAAATACAGATCGTGTACGCGTACATGCACACGTATGCTAAGCTGATGGGCCTGGTTGGATAAGTCGTTAGGAGGCAAATTCCTGATTCATGGGCTGATGGTTAGAGAAAGATCTTTCTTTTTCGATCTAATCTAAACGTGTTTGCTTGGCGAGGAGGCCAATCGCCTCTTGCCTTCCCCTATATAAACCGGCACTCTGGCCAACAGGAGGGCCCCTTCGGTTCACGCATGCAGGCTGAGGCCAAAAGCTGCTACGCCCTCCACGTTAATAAGCCCCGGTTGGCCGTCCCCTAGCTGCTGCACATCCTCTACGAATTGAAGCCGCCTCCTGCAAGCAGCGAGTCGCCGAGAAGCAAGCCACGTCCATCAAGTCGACGACATCTTCTTCAAGTTCAACCGCGACCGTGCCGTTTATTATGGCAGTCACGTTTCCTGGTGGGCATGTAATCTGATGCGTTAACAAGTTCAGATGAGCATGAGCATGAGCAATTGCTCGTAAGATGCATATACTCCGAGCTAGTTATTGGCTCTATTATTTCTACGATGGCAGAGAGGTCGTATTGGCCTGATCCCTATTATTTCTACGATGGCGGAGAGGTCGTATTGGCCTGGTCCATATTATTTCTACGATGGCGGAGAGGTCTTATTGGCTTGATCCCTATTATTTCTACGATGACGGAGAGGTCGTATTGGCCTGATCAGATTACTTTCCGAACTCGGGACGCTGGTATTTACAGCGAGGGGTTGCCCTCACCAAGATTCGATGATTGATGAGGCGTTTGCCTCCGCGGGTTCTGCCCCTACAAATTAAAGCTGTTGCGACCAAATTAGGCGTAACGCCCTAGCTAATGCAAGTGACGCCGAAAGGCTGCCAAAGTGTTTGATGGAGATTATATTCCGAGCTCGTTATGCTGGTAATTACAGCGAGGGGTTGCCCTCACCGAGCTCGATGATTTCATACGATGCGCGAGACGGGAAACCCCCGCTCGTCGCGATGACGGAAAAGTCGAGACACACGAGACGAGAATGTCTCGTTTCTCTATAAAACACCGACGCCGGGAGGCTGTGGATTTGATTTCATGAGAAAGCATCGTCCAAGCAATACTTATACCACTAGTTTATTGTGGATTTTCTACTATATGTGATCATCTACGTTTAGTACCGACGAGGCTAGACAGAATTATGGCCAAGTGTCGACGAGGCGAGGTCACTACTCCATCTACACGTCCCAATTACGGGATAGGACATATCGTTGCTGGGCACCGACGAGGCAAAGGCAACTCACACACGTCCGTGTTAATGAAGGCCGGCGTACATGACTGGGCACCGACGAGGCAAAAATCATCCCCTTCATCAACATAGTCCGTTTACTTCGACATGGCATTGGCGATGTCACAACCGAGCTTCGGCGACATAAAGCCACCCATAGTTACTATGCCATATATCGCATATGGCTGATGACGAGTAATCAAGTATTTGACGACCATAAAGCGCAGCTTAATCGGAGGTTTTCCGCTAGCTTGTCTTGCGGATGTAATTAACCGGACGTGTCTAACAGGCCCCAGGAATCGGCGAACTATGCAATTTTCTACAAGTCAGACCTCTCCTTAAGCATGACGCTGAAGACGGAAGAAGACATTTTTTTTTGTTAATCATGTATTTTGTATATTCAAGAAAGAATTAATGAAATATGTGATTCTAGAATATGTGTGCATGTGTCTCCCTTGCATTATAATTATTTTATATGTCTTCATTCGGTTTTCGACCCAACATTGATGAGAACTAAAACTTTTGAAGTTAATTTTTATATTTGAGATCATTTTGAATCCTAAATATTCAATAACAATTTCTTAAAATTGTTACTAAGGAATATCATCCTATGTTAACTGGTATATTTGTAAGGAGGGGTGATGCAAGGCTTTAGGTTAGTCAAAGGTTTGAATGAATCCCATAAAACCTACACACACGAAGTTTGTCCGAAAAATTGATCACGATGCTTATTAGTTAGTGGGCTTCTTCTAATAAGATAAAAATATTTTTTAAATTTTTTATTTTTAGAGCTTTTCTTTCGTGTTCTAAAAATCATTAACAATGGAGACTGGTCGTGGGCCACCTCGTGTGCCTCGTGTCTGCTAGGGCAGGTAGGAGTTGTCTCTTTTCCCAACTCGTGTGCCTCGTGTTATATTAAAGTACGGCTATATCTCGCTTATCAGAAAACAAGTAAGGCTAGAGCAGGTAGGTTTCCTCTTTTGCACAAGCTATCTCTAGATAGATTACACAGATTTACAAGCTATCTTATTAGAGGCCAACTTCTTTATATATATATATATATATATATATATAAAAGTATAGATTAAGGGCAAGTCAATTCGGAGACACGGAGCTGTAATGTACTATGGCCACCTTCTTCTCCTTCAAACCACAGCACCGCAGCAGCAGGATCTACCATATTATTCCTGCCTCCGAATCGAAGTCGCTCCGGCGATCCGGAAGCATTTCATGGAGTTGGAAGAAGCACAGAAGGTTGCAACAACGCTGCCAACGGCAGCAGGATTCCAACCCAAGAACAGAGCAAGATCTTGACGATGAGGGTGACAGCCGGCTGAGCCAAAACACCGGCATTTTCCACCCATCTATATGGGGGGATTTCTTCCTTGGCTACTCTAGCCCTGAAGCTTCGTCCCAACAAAAGGTTAATTTATTTATGGATCGATCTCTTTTTCGATATCTATCTATGTAATATATATATAGAGATATAGTTATATTTTTCAAGTCAATTTGAGCATGATCTATATTAAGACCATTGAAAGTTTGAGACCTGTCAGTGCTTGTGCTTGTAATTATGCTTATATAGCTTTAGTATTTACTGTTTCATTAGACTTGGATGGAACGAGCTGATGAACTGAAGGAAGAAGTGGCTCTAATGATAGCAGCAACTTCAACCATGGGTAGCCTGCATGAGAGGCTGCATTTCATAGACACGTTGGAGAGCCTGTGCTTGGATCACCTGTTCGAAGAAGAGGTCAATGCTGCATTATCACAAATTGAGACTGCTGATGTCAGTGACTGTGACATTGGGACAGTATCTCTCTGGTTATATCTACTTCGGAAACACCGATACAGGGTTTCACCAGGTAAATTTATTTTAACCACCGGCCGACCATAGAATTTCAAATAATCATGCACTGTTTGTGATTGTAGTACACTGCAATGTACACCCATGAAGGAAATGTTAGGTCAGCCATGCATCAATAAAAAAGGAGCGTCCTGAAATGATACTCTGACATTGACCGGAATCTAATGTAATTTAAGGAATTATTAAGGATGATTCTCGGAGAACGATCGACCAGGGCCGTGCACATGGTTGTTGTTTTGTTAATGTTGTCTGCATCATCTTGTAACCGTGCCACTGTCCTTGTTAACTAATTTCTGTAAATAATATTTTCACACCGAACCAAGCTAATTTCATATTCCCTAATACTTGTAGCAGATATATTGCAAAGTACTAGATTGTAGCAATAATGCTATTCAGAATAATATTATTAGGGAAGTTCCTGGTCTGGATTTGCACAGAGGTTAAAACGTTTTAAAGCTCAAGTTGGTAGCTCGCTGAGCCACAGCAAAACCAAATGAAGCCCAAAAGGACACTTAATTTACTCCCTCTGTCGGCAAAAACCATAAAACCAACCAAATGATGAAGTCCTGTTACTCAACTCAGTTCAGGCAGTAATCCCTTTTAAGGCTCTACAATGTCATTTCTTTCTGGCTCTTCCACCATGAATTAATTTCTTTTAATTTCAGGAATAAACTTTCTTCTACTAGCAACAAATTTGATGTCATTGTTGCAGATGTGTTTGTGAGGTTCAAAGATGCGGAGGGAGGTTTCTTAGCAAACAAGCCTATAGACCTACTGAGGCTCTACAATGCTGCGCATTTTAGGACCCATGGGGAGATAATACTTGATGAAGCTATAACATTCACAAGAAGTCGTTTGGAGATAATACTGCCCTACTTGCAAGGGTCGTCATTAGCATATGAAGTAAAATCCGCACTCGAGATCCCACTACCTAGAAGGGTTAGAATCTATGAGTCAAAGCATTATATCTGTACATATGAGAAAGATGGAACACTGCATGAGAAGGTATTGCAACTTGCAAAGTTGAGTTCAAATATTCTGCAGCTCCATCATCAGCAAGAGCTGAATATCCTTACAAGGTGAAGTGGCCGCGTGTGTTGCTATCTAGAGTTCTGCTACACACAAATATTTATTTGAAAATAAAAATGGCTAATCTTATATTAATTAATACATAGACGAAATGCTAGATTTCAAAAGTTCATTTTATTTGTTTTATAAGCTTAATAGTTTTTGAAGATAGAGCTCTATGACAATTGTTATGCCTGTACAGATGGTGGGAGGATATAAAGATCGGATCGAAACTTCCTTTCGCCCGAGATAGAATAGTGGAGTGTTTTTTATGGATCTTAGGAGTATACTATGAACCATGTCATTCAAGAGCCCGGATAATATTGACAATGATTATTGCCATTGTGACACTCTTGGATGATATTTTTGATTCTTATGGAACTCTAGAAGAATGTGAGTTACTCACTAATTGCATTGAAAGGTTTGTATTAACTTTCCTAGCTTACAAATATTTTTTTCATCCCAAGTTCGCACGAGTTCTTGTCACTCTTGACAATATAATTTGTAAAGAACAATAAAGAAAAATGTGTGCTATTTTAACTTGGTAAGTTGTATATATATGTATGTATAACTAGAAACTAGGATCAAAGTTCTTTATATAAGAAGATAGAAAATAGTGTATATTATTTCCTTGAGATTACCATATTATATTGGTAATTAACTATGTCTTGTTTGTTATTATCATGCATGGAAAATCCCATCTAGCTCGGGGGAAACCCAACAAATGTAATTACACATTTAAATTACCTAAAAATGTTTCAGTGTTTTTCTACCATAGTGGTAGTCTAGAATTCATGAGTTATTTCCCAATTGTCATGTCCAGCTGGGATCCCAAAGGGGCTCAAGACCTCCCTGGTTGCATGAAATTTGCTTTGGGGAAAATATTGGATAGCTATGAAACCATTACGAATATGCTCCACCAAGAGGAGAAGTATCGCATGACGTATCTAAGATACTTTGTAAGCTACCTTTCTCTTCTACATATTTTATTTTTTCTGGTTCTCGCAGTGAATGATTATCCAGGAAACTGCGAGGTATATCTATTTAGCTAGTAGCCTTGCATGCTAGCTTGATGCTATGAGTCAAACAAACATGTTTAACACATCTCTAGCTTTTAGTATGTGGAAAATTTTCATATAGTTGCTATCTTTAATATGCAGACAGAAGATCTAGTGAGAGGCTTCAACACGGAGGTAAAAATGCTTCAAGAAGGTTATATCCCAAAGTCTGTTGAAGAGCATCTTAAGGTTTCATTAAGAACTGGTGGGTGTCCCATTTTATCATGTGCTTCTTTTGTCGGGATGCATGATATAGCAACAAAGGATTTCTTTGATTGGATTTCTAGTGTACCCAAAATGGTGCATGCATTTTCTGTAATTCTCAGACTAGTAGATGATCTCCGGTCATATGAGGTATTTTCTATAACTCCTTAGCTGAAAGTTTGACATGGTTTTTAAGCATAATATAAATCTTATAGTTCCCATTTTCAATTTGCTATGAGACTTTGGTATTGATGATCACATAACATAGCTTTGTTAGTACCTAGCAATGCTTTTTTTTTTAAAACACAATATATATGTGTTCACTCTCGTACACACATGCACACTCGCTCTGATAGATTGAGCTGACAGATCTTGATATTGACAAAGTCAATAAAAATGTCCTACTACCATCGATGGGCATGCTACCTACTACAGAAATAACAGTGTTATTTTTACTTGGAATACATCTACAAAATGCAAGCATCTGTGCCAAGTCTAGCACGTGAATGTGGGTGAACAAGTACCAGCATAAAAACCTAACTAAATGATCTTAGGTCAACAACACAGAAATTTTCTTACCGATATTTTTGACTTCGTGCAGCGAGAGCATGTAATCCATCCCTCATGTAGCTTCCACAATCGATAGCTACATGAAAAAGCACAACGTCTCAGTTGAAGTGGCGCGGGAAAAGATACGCAATCTAAAAGAGGAGTCTTGGAAAGATTTAAATAGCGAGTGGCTAAATCCCAGAAACGTGTATCCAAAGCAACTATTGTAGAGGATATTCAACTTGGCAAGCACGATGGAATTCATGTGCAACCAAGAGGACAATTTCACGAACTGCCACAACCTCAAGGATACCATTCATTCGTTGTTGGTAGAGCCTTTTACGATCCACATTTAGTTTTGGCAACAAACAAATGAATTATATTGTCTGGTTACTGTAATGTGGTGTTCTCTCTCATCCTTACGTGTGTCAATGTTTTTCTTGCATTGCCTGCATAGTGTCAATGTGGACGCCTACCTTGCATCATTTTTCTTTGCACACTAGATTTTACTCTTGTTGTATCATTTGCCCTTTCCTTTGGACTTTGTATGTCCTTGTACCTGACCCACCTTTTTAATTATGTCCTTTCCTTTGGCCTTTTTATGCCCTTAATTTCAAGCATATAAAAAGAGAAGCATGCAGAGTTACCATTTTTTTAGGTAATGGAAAATTAGTCAGACACTTCAAAGGAAAATGCATCAGTCCACAGTTATATTACAAGTGCACCTTGCGTTCAAAAAAAAAAATTACAAGTGCACCCAAACGATCAAGAAAACAAACACGCTGACTTAAACAGTCAAACAAAAATAGAAAGCCATCCATTTGACAAAAAAAAAAAAAGCTTCATCACAAATGGTTCTAGGCTTTGTCACGATGCATCAGGCCTCGTTTGGTTCAGTGATCCACCAGATCCACTCAATCCGGCCCAGGAAAAGAAACAATGATAAACAAGGGAGCTCAATTGCTCAACATGATATGCAAGGATACCCTCCTTTGTCAAGGCGACAATCTGAATGCATGCGTGTCAGCACTGCTTCCCGTAAAAAAATTCTTGTACTTTTTGTCCCCATATTGCTGCTTAATTCATAAAAATAACCTCAGTCCTTTCTGCTTCGTCAGGAGTATGGATGAAAACGGTACGGATATTTATTCGACCGTCCGTTCGACCGAACAAATATGAACACTTATCTGGATAGTTACTCGGATATCCGGTTTTTTTTTCGGATACGGATACTAAAACGGATATCTTAGGCGGATATCAAATACGGATGTAATATCATCGATATCCGGCGGATATCGGATAATCCGGATAAGTATCGGATATATCCGGATATTTAAAAACGGATATTATCCGGATATTTATTCAAAATTTAAAAATCACAAATTTGAACCATCCAAACTATCTCAAATGGAAAGTTGACCAAAACAACAATTGTAGATCTTGATGAGTTGAACAAACTTGGTATTCAAAACTTTTCAATTTGAAGTCATTTAGAGTTCATAATACTACAGTCAAAGTGTTGTTTTTTTATTTGACCAAATTTGACTTGGTCAAACTTGCTCAAATGAGACACTAAATGACCTCAGATGAAAAAACTCTGAATACCAAGTTTGATCATCTCAGCAAGATCTACAATTGTTACGTAGCTCATTTTCCCATTTGAGAAAGTTTTATCAAACACTAGTCATAAATTCTTGAATCTCATATAGACTTTCTGAAACTATGTCACACACTTGTGAAATTTGAACTATATTTTGTTCAAACTTTCTCAAATGAAAAAATGACCTATATAAGGATTGTATATCTTGATGAGATGAACAAATTTGGTATTCAAAACTTTTCAATTTGAGACAATCTAGGGTTCCGAAAACTAGTTTGTAAACGTCGAAATTTAAAAATCACAAATTTGAACCGTCCAAACTATCTCAAATGGAAAGTTGACCAAAACAAAAATTGTAGATCTTGATGAGTTGAACAAACTTGGTATTCAAAACTTTTCAATTTGAAGTCATTTAGAGTTCATAATACTACAGTCAAAGTGTTATTTTTTCATTTGACCAAATTTGACTTGGTCAAACTTGCTCAAATGAGACACTAAATGACCTCAGATGAAAAAACTCTGAATACCAAGTTTGATCATCTCAGCAAGATATACAATTGTTACATAGCTCATTTTCCCATTTGAGAAAGTTTTATCAAACACTAGTCACAAATTCTTGAATCTCATATAGACTTTCTGAAACTATGTCACACATTTATGAAATTTGAACTACATTTTGTTCAAACTTTCTCAAATGAAAAAATAGCCTATATAAGGATTGTAGATCTTGATGAGCTGAACAAACTTGGTATTCAAAACTTTTCAATTTGAGACAATCTAGGGTTCCGAAAACTAGTTTGTAAGCATCGAAATTTAAAAATCATAAATTTGAACCGTCCAAACTATCTCAAATGGAAAGTTGACCAAAACAAGAATTGTAGATCTTGATGAGTTGAACAAACTTGGTATTCAAAACTTTTCAATTTGAAGTCATTTAGAGTTCATAATACTACAGTCAAAGTGTTGTTTTTTTATTTGACCAAATTTGACTTGGTCAAACTTGCTCAAATGAGACACTAAATGACCTCAGATGAAAAAACTCTGAATACCAAGTTTGATCATCTCAGCAAGATATACAATTGTTACATAGCTCATTTTCCCATTTGAGAAAGTTTTATCAAACACTAGTCACAAATTCTTGAATCTCATATAGACTTTGTAAAACTATATCACACACTTGTGAAATTTGAACTACATTTTGTTTAAACTTTCTCAAATGAAAAAATGGCCTATATAAGGATTGTAGATCTTGAATCCATGACCATGACTCCATGAGACCCATGAAGCCATGAGCTTGGCTATTTCTACTCATGCCGCGAAGATTGGTGCTTGTATGATGTTTGATGTATGATGTATCTGTATCTTTATCTTATTTGTTGCTTTACTCTTTAGTCTTTCGGCTTAATCTAGATGGATTATGGACTCATAGAGTGGTGTAATGGTTTGCGCACGTATGATATATATATATATATGCTGCTTTTACTCAATATCCGAATAGATATTTGTATCCGACCTTCTCCGAATCCGATTCATACCGTATTCGATACTCATTATTCGTATCCGTAACCGAGTCAATCCGTATTTGTATATGTATCCGAACGCTATCCGTGTCCGAATCCGAATCCGAACAGAAATATGAAAACAAATATAATATGAGTGATATCCGTTTGTATCCGATCCGTTTTCATCCCTAGTCAGGAGCGGCCTTCAATTCATTTCATCATATTTATAATTTCCGTTCTCATATTCCGTGGCGTACAAGGCATTGGAGGCATTGTGTGGGTAGCATGGCCGATTTTATTCGTAGGCAGACACTCCGTTTCGGGCCAACTCAAAAGGCTTATGAAGTGGCCCAGGATTAGTTGGGCCGCCGATTTTGCTTCGTGCTGAAGCGTGGGCATAATTTTTATCTGCGTTTCTTAAAACTGACAAGGTAATTAATTAGATTCTCCACGTAATAAATTTCTTAAAAATCGACTGGGTATGTAATTAGATTTTTTTCCCGTGCAAACTGACAAAACAACTAAATTTCCCTATGAGCTTCGGTTAAAAGTCATAAAAAAGTGCTCACTGACAAGAGTATTCCGTTTTCTAGCAGTGGTAGGACGGTATTATTGATTGCAAGGCTGATTAGTTGCATCTCTATCTCTAGTATTGCTTGAGATCTATGGCATGTACTCCTACAAAAAAGATTGCGAGGCTCAATTCAAAATCATCAAATCATTTAGCGGTCAAAACATTGAGTAAATATTACGAAGTGTTAATATAAAAGAATAACATCCTATACTCAGTTATAATTTAGTGCCGTAGTGCTAAATGTTGATACGTAGAGAGACATCACGCGTGAGACTTGAGATTATGGGTTTAAATCCTAGAAGATTCTCTCTTTTTGTTTTCTGGTATTTTTAATATTGTTAATTGATTTATAGAGGTGATTGTAAATGGCCTATTAATTAATAGACGATCGAACTGGTCACCTCTGCTAATAAAAAGGACCTACCTTTCAAAATAATTTCTACAACAGTAGTACTCTCTCTATCTCCAAATAAATCCATTAATAGAATCCCTGCCAGTCAAACTATCCTAAGTTTGATTAACTTTATAGGAAAGATCAACAACATCTATAACATAAAATGGGCACATTATGAAAAAAATATTATATGGTATATCTAATGTTACTAATTTCATGTCATAAATCTTAACGGGGTTTTTTTAGAAATTTGAACAAAGTTTAAAATATTTGACTTTAGAAAACTCTACGAATCTATTTTATTCATAGATATAGGGACTTGTTACTCCCTCCTCCCCAAATTATAAGTCATTCCAACTTTCTTGGAGAGTCAAAGCATTTCAAGTTTGATCAAAATTATAGAAAAAATTACGAAGATTTATGACATCAAATAGGTTACTATCAAAATATAATTAATGAAGAATCTAATAATATCATAAATGTTATTGTTTTATTATATAAATTTGGTTAAACTTGAGATGATTTGACTCT